ATAATAAGTATAATATTTAAAAATAATATTAAAAAATAAAACAAACGGGTCAATCCGTCAACCCGCAGGTTGACCCTAACCGGACTTGTGATCCGTACGGGTTGATAATACGAGTTATCTACGAGTTGCGGGTTGAGATATGTAAACCCTAACCCGTTTTTACGGGTCGGGTGGATTTTTGCTAGGTCTAATCTTGACAAAGGTGCCCTAAATGTAAGTAGATATATATGAGCAGAGGTCTTGCCTTTTAAGACTAAATTCATTCCTTCTAAATCAGTTTGTTTGTCTGCAGTAACTTACTAAGGAAGCATGAAGGCTAAACAGATTCAAGCGGTTCCATCTGTAAGTATGTTAGTTTTGTTTTGACATATCTCTGTATAAATGAATGTTCTTGAGTGCATAGAAATGGTTTTAACTTTGAAATTAATATGGTTACCAAAAATGATATATGACCACCTGCTCCTTCTATTGTTAAATCTTTTGTCATTCTCTTTTTTTGTCAAAAAAAAAAAAAAAAAAGGTTTTATGCATGGTTAAGCATTTTGTACAGAGTAATGCAGGAGTAGTTTCGTGCATGATTGTGCCTGAGGTCCTTCAAAAAGATAATTATAAAAGGTGGCGCATTTTCATGAAACACTATTTAGAGGCTCAAGACCTTTGGGATGTGGTCGTATCAAGTGAGATGCCTCCTGCTCATGGAGAAGACCGAAAGAAGTGGAATCAAAGAAATGCTTTGGCTCTGCATGGAATTAAGATTTCATGTGGAGAAGAATTGTTTGATGAGATTAAGGAGATGAATTCAGCAAAAGATGCTTGGAAAGCATTGGATGATTTGCATAAACAACCAAGAGATAACGGGAGCGAATATATAGGTTTATTTTCCATCTCTATCTTTTTCTTAATTTTAATAATATTGCCTCTAAAAATAATCTTACAATCCTTGGCAGGATTCAGGACTTTTAAAAGGGAACAAGCCATAACATTGCTCAAGGACATAAAAAAGGGGGTTTCTGATGATGTAAAAAAACTCTTTGTAGAACATCACGATACTCTGTATTTTGCAGCATCAGAAGACCTTTCTGCAACATTAGAAGACCGTTCCACTCTTCTTCATGTTGCAATTGCTGCTGGCCAGGTAAAGTTGGCTAAGGAACTGATTGCGATGATGTTAAAAGAAGAGTTGGAAATACAAAATAAGCGCGGCCAGACAGCTCTCTCCTTGGCTGCTTGTAAGGGAAGTAGAAAGATCGTAGAATGTTTGGTTAAAAAGAACAAAAGATTGCTTGAAATACCAGATTGTGAGAAGAAGATCCCACTTGTGTTGGCCTGTGTCACAGATCATAAGTCTTTGACTCTTTATCTTTATTCGGTGACACCTAATGAAATTCTAGATCCAAAAAAAGGCGACCATGGATTCTTCCTCCTCAAAGAGTGTATAAGGAACCATATGTTTGGTAAGAGCTGTAAATTTTAATTTTCTGTCTATTTCTCTTTGCTATATAGGCATGCATGCTTTTATTTTACCTTAATTTCTTAAACAAACTGGTATTTTTGAATCAGAAATTGGACTCGATCTGCTGGACAAATTTCCAGGTTTGACATTTCACAAAAGCTCTTTGGAACCTACCCCTGTTATTTTAGTGTTGGTCGAAATACTATCATCATTGTTTGCTGGGAACAAGCTTGTTTTATTAGGGGAAGGACTTATATATAGATTTTGTGAGGACACTTTCCTCTTTTTCTTTAATTATTACAGTTTTCAATTGATATATTTTTCTTATTTTTCCATAAAAGTTGATAATTAACCACTAACTTTTGAATTTCCTTGCTGCACACAAATTTTGCTCTTAACTAGGTCAATGGTTACCATATAATCTAAAGTATGACCGAGCCAAAGCCCGTAAGATGGTAAGTTTCATATGTGATCAACTGTCAACTTTAGAAAGAGAGCAACTTATTAGCAGTGGAGCAGTGGAAGCTACCTTCACTGCTATCAAGCTTGGCTACCTTGACTTTGTAAAACAAATTTCAGAAACTAATCCTGATATAGTTTGGAGCCATACTGATCCCGAACACTCAAGAGACATGTTAACGTATGCTGTCGAACATCGTCAAAAGGAAATTGCCAACTTTCTTTATAGACTCGATCCAGCAAGGGTGATAACGGGGTTTACCATATACAACGACCAAAACAATATGTTACATCTGGCTGCAAAGTTAGCTCCCAGCTCTTCCCATAATCCGGTTCTTCAAATGCAAAGTGAAGCAAGGTGGTTTCAGGTAATCGTTGAAAAAACTTTTATGATCTCAACATATATATAGAGAAAAATTATTATAAAATTATATTATTTTAATAAAATATTATAAAAAAATTAAATACAATTTAATTCATATTTTAAAAGTAAATTGTTTTAATCTTTTAAAATAAAAAATTATTAAGTTGATAGAATTTTAAAATATTTTTTTAATTTAAGTTAATTTTTTTAAAATAAATTGACAAGTATTTATTTTTATATATAGTTAAGAATTCATTCAATTAATAAAGCTAAGTCCATTTTAAATATCAATTTTTCACTTACTAAATTAATTATTTCAGGAAGTTGAACGTATAGTTTCAAGATTTTATAAAGAACAAAAAAATGAAGATGACGAAACACCTTTAGAAGTGTTCAGTAGAGAACACGAGAGTTTACTCAAAGAAGCTCAAATATGGGTGAAACAAACAGTATATTTTGCTGCAATTATAGGCACTCTTATCATTGGCATTACGTTTGCAGCAGCTATTACTTTTCCTGGTGGTAATAATGACCGGGATGGCTCCCCTAACTTCTCTAAAAGAGCATCTTTTATGTCATTCGTGCAATCGGATCTAGATTCTTTATATTTTGCGTCTCTTTCAGTCTTGTTTTTTAGGCATATCCATGACTCGAGTCTTACCAACGAAGATTTCCTAACTGGACCCTTGTGGACCTTAACTTGTAAGTTGGCCTTCAGCTTCTATCTCCTATTCGGGTCCATTGCAGCCATGCTAAGTAGCTGTTTTGCTTCTGACATGCTAATTAGCTCATCTTTTGCTTCTGCTTCTGTTAGACTTTTGCGTCCTCACATTTCTACTTTGTCGATCCGTATTATTTCTGCAGTTATCCTTGGCTGTCCATTTGTCTACTTTTTTCTAAAACACCTTCTCCCTCTTCTTAATATTTTATTTTTCCGTATTTTTCGAGAACAGAAAATAAGGTTTCGACCTGTTTTCACATTTAATCTTTGAACAAGTCCACCATCCTGTTTCAATATATGCGTGGTTAAATATCATCACTTCTTCCAGTGTACTAACACCTAAATTCCGCGCGTTGCGTGGTCTCGTGTGCTTTTTTTTTTTTTTTTCTCTGGATTTGGATGTGCTCTATGCCTCTATGTTTATTGTAATATTATTAATGTTAAAGTTTGCTTTGACATTGAATTTTAATTTAAATTCACAGGGCAGTGTATCGATAATTTAATATAACTATTAATTGTTATGTTAGTGGGGTTTGAGAATTTTAACTCTTGTTCAGTTTGATTTTGATGTGTCAAAAACATATATGATGGAAATATAAATTTGTTTTAACATATTTTTTAATTGTGTTTTGATTTTTATTATTCAAAAAATAATAATTTAAATATATTTTAGAAGGATATTTTGAATTTACTGATTTTTAATTGTAAATATTTCATCATCTTATATTAAAGTTTATGTCAAGTTTGGATTTGAATTTTACTAATAAAATCTAAGGTGGAAAGGTTCTTTTCACCTAAATTTTATTTATATCATTTTCATCTTTAAATTCTTGATATATTTACTATTTTAGATTTCTTCTAGTTTTTTTATTATTTGAATTCATAGGTAAATACAATTAAGGGTATATTTGGTACGACATTTAAAATCTATTAAATTGTAATAATGATTAGTGGATGGTAAATGATGAATGGTGGGTAAAAAATTTATTATTCTTATTATTGGATAGAAAAGATTTATTATTTTAAAATAAAAGTAAACCAAAATTTTAATTATTCCTTTTGATTAAATTTTTTTAATTAAGTTAATATATATTTTTATGATAAATTAATATAGAATTTTAAAATATAATAATCAATTAATTTTATGTAAGAGAAAAAATTTTAACCAATTAAGAAAATTAATAACTGTGGGGTTTAACAAAAAAATAAATAACTAAAATAGATAGATTTATTAACAAAATTAAATAATTTGCATAAGCAATCAAAAACCCACTATGAGTATATATATCACCACAAAAAGGAACAAAAAGCACAGAAAATATAGGCCACGGTCGCGGGAAAGATAAATAAGGGGGTGGGCCAGTTAAATCCAGACTGAGACTGAGACTGAGACTGACCTCGGGTTACCCAAGCCCATACCAGTCAGCCCATACCTAGATTGACATCTAGTTACATGAGCCCAGAACAGTAAGCCATATTAAAAAGCACAAGTGAGAGAAAATATACATGTCAATTTTATATTTTTTTATTTAAAAATATTAAGTTTATTAATTTTTAAATAAAATTATTAATTATTAATTTTTTTATTTAAAAATATTAACTTTTAATTTTTTTATTTAAACATAAATTAAATGATAATACTAATATAATTAATATATTTTTTATTAAAATATTAAAAATTAATATTTTTTAAAAATAATATTTTTAAATAATAAAATATAAAATTAATATTTTTATTTACACGTTTACTCCCAAAAAGTTACGAATAATTGGTTAGCCCTGAAAAACTTACAATGCTTGCTCAGGCCCACTAAGACCATGGAAAGGAATGTGATAAAGACATAAAGTTCAGCTAATATGGGCCGCGATCAAAGGCAAACGAAAAGTAAAACAAAACTATGAGCAAAGGGATCATTAAGTGAAGACCGACATCTTTGACGGATCTAACACAGACAATTGGGGCGGGTCTTGAAGGTTGTAAAAAATTGGCACAATCTGTAGTCACAAGGATAAAAGCTTCGCAAACACTCTGAGAAAGAACCTCTACCAGGTCTACTTCAATAAACCATTTTAAAAAAAATTAAGAACCTTTTACAAGTCTTGAAGATACATTTTGTTCGCAAAAAATGACTTTTTAAAATTAATTTTTACATTTTTTTATGTTTTGAAAGTCAATAGAAAATAAGTTAAAAGAAAACTAGTAAAGTCAATGGAAAATAACATATTCTTTTATGTTTGGAAAGTCAATAGAGAATAAGTTAAAAGAAAATTAGTGAAGTCAATGAAAAATCACATGAAGAAAACTTATAAAATAACTTTCAAAATTTTCATTCCACAAGTCCTTTTTTGTAAAAACATGCGGATCCATCTTTTGGATCCGCTTGTTATTCATTGACTCGTTATTTAAACCATTCATCAACCTGTTTCCTCCATGCCAATCCAAATGTATTTGCTGGTTGTGGCGGAGCCATTAACATTTAAAAGTTAATACAATTTATATTATATTTTAATAATTAAATTCAATAAATATTAAAAAATATATAAAATCAAAAAAATATATTAATATTTTTTTAAAAAAAATATACGTGACAATAGAGATATGGGATGCATATACATTTCCATATGCATCATCGACATTAATTTCTTCAACAACTCACAGGGAAAGAAAATCCAAGCTTGATTCGATTAAAGGAAAAATGAAAATGACTAGCTATGCATGATCAACATTTCTTGATTAAATCAGAAAAAAAAATCGAAAAATCCAAAAATTCAAACTTGTGTTACCTATATATATATATATATATATATATATAAAATTAATTCAAGAATATGAAGGACAATGGCGCGCCATTAAAAGTTACCGCATTTCATCTTGTGTTACATATCATCTGGCCGGACGAAACCTGGTTCATGTGATATATATAGATATAGCTCATTTGCAGGCTACAAATAATGTGTGCGAGAAACCAGAGGCTTCATCCTTCTGGGACTCAGTACAGCTTTCACAGAATGGATGGCATGCAGTTTACTTGGCTCTAAGATCTTCCCTCCACAAACTCATCCGAATATAATGCTTACTTAGACAGCAATTATGTTTTCCTCTTTTTTTCTTCTTTTTATTTTTGAAAAAAAAATAAAAATTTCGCTGTCCGTTAGTTTACAATTATCAGCCTCTACTACTAGTGTGTAATTTGAATTGAATTTATGAATATAATATAATTATAATATTATAATACATTATAATTTTATAATATAATGTATTATCATATTATAATTATAAAATTTTAACTTTATATAATATTATACCTATAATATTATTATTTGAAAAATAATAAATAACTTATCTTGCCGGTTGGGGAGTTCCATTTCCATGCGTTGAAACCGGTGGCGATGGGCGTGGTGGGGAAGAAGACAATTTCCAACGCAGCATTTTTATTAAATAAATTTTATTAAGAAGAAAACAGATTTAGGAATATTTTTTAATTGTCGTCCCAACCAACTCAGCTGGCCTTTTTCTATGATTTTGTTATTATTCTAGTTCCCCATGCTTTTGAACGCACCGCGCACCTATTAACTGAAGGAATATAATCTGAAGTTAACCCATAAGTATGCAATGAAAAGCTTTCAAGAGATATACTAATCTCTGCAATCAAATGTCGTCGAGGAGATATTTTAAAGTTTGTTTAAGGGCTTGATGCAGGGAAGAAAGCATTTCTCTCTTTAAGAGATAAAGACGGAAACAACGTGTTGCATCTAATAGCCAAGTTACCTGACTGTCGCCGTAATAATCTCTATCCAGCTTGGGTTATGTAATACAAAATAAAGTTGTTCGAGGTTGTCAATTAACTCTCACTTTATATATATTTCTTTTATTTCTATAATTAAACAATTTGTTTTTCTATAATACTGTTATGAAATGGCAGGAGGTTAAGAGTGTTCTTCCATGCTGGTATCAAGGAGCCAAAAATCTTTATGGTAAAACTCCAGACCTAGTTTTTCTCAGAGAACACCACAAAATGACTAAAGAAGCAAATGAATGGGCCAAGGAAAGTGCAAGGTCTTATATCCTTGCAGCTGCTTTAATCGTTACAATTATGTTTGCAGTACTTTTTAAAGATCTTGGAGGGAAAAATCAACACTTCGGTATCTTCAAATTATTGCACAGAAAACTGCTTTCCTGGTTTATAATATGTGATGCATTGTCCCTCTTTACTGCATCAATTTCCTTGTTGGGATTCCTGAATATACTCACACTATCCCATGGTAAAAATAATTTTCATCGAGTTCTTCCCTGGCAAATGATGTTTGCTATTTCTGCACTCATCATTTCAATTGCAACAATGGTCCTGGCCTACATTTTTGCTCTTACCATTATGTTACAAAGGAAGTCTTTGGCCACTACTAGAAAGTTGACCATTTCGGTCAAAATATTTTGGTCAAGTAATTTTTTTGACCGAAAAAATAAATAATTTGGACAAATAAAATGACCGAATATTAAATTTGTCCATAAAAACAAAAAAAAAAAACATATAATTCGATCCAATTTTACTTCGGTCAAGTCACTTGACCGAAATAATTTGATGCCAAGACAAATCGGTCAAGTGAGTTGACCAAATTATGAAGTACTAGTTTATTCGGTCAAGTTACTTGACCGAATAAAAATGAGAAAAAATCTAATATTATCTTAACTTTAAATATTAAAAAATAATATAAAATATTCTTAGTTCGGTCTATAAAAATGACCGAAATGTAATTCTACAACTTGATTTGACATGCCCAGCCACGTTTTTGAAATTCAAAGAAGCATGGAAAATGGCTAAATTTAATTTTTCATCCATTAACTATTACTCTCTTTTCATTGTAATCTAGAAAGTTTAATTTCTTTCAAAATCAACTATAAATTTGAAAAATCATTTTAAATTCATTTATCTAACAAATTTTCGTTAGTGTTTTTAATGGAATCCTATGGGATGCTGATGTGGCACCAATTATGTGGTATATGTAATTTTGAAAAATTACACTTTAACCCCTAAAACTTTATAAAATGTTCAATTAAATTTTATATTCAAATCATTCCACGATACAATTTACTATCTAGTCCTTAAATGGACTAAATTAAAATTAATCAAAACTAATGATAATAATTAAGATTGTTAGCTTAATTTGTTAATTAGTTAAGATTATAATATTATTTTTATCAAATTAAAATTAAAAAAATTCTTTTACGTGTAAAAATTTTAAAAATGTATTTTCTCTATATTAAAATAATAAATATTTTTTAATTTATCTTTAAATTAAGGATTTAGAAACAATTTCTATTATTACATATTTTATCCTTAAAAAAGAAATAAAAATAAAGAATTTTTTTTTAAGAATAATGATAAATAGGACTAAAATTTAGGACTAAAATTTGAGATTAAAATTTAATTAATGTCATGTTATTTAAAATATTAAAAAATGGATCTTATATTATTTAATGATTATTTTTTAGGACATGCGATATTGTAGATAATAATAAGGT